CCCTTTCCTTTCCTTTCCTTTTCCCTTTCCTTTCCTTTCCTTTGTCTCACTTTGTTGCCCTTGGTAGAGTGCTATGGTGTCACAGCTCACACCTACCTCCAACTGTTGGGCTTAAGCGAATCTCTCGATTCTCTTGCCTCCGCCTCCCAAGTAGCTGGGACTACAGGCGCCCACCACAATGCCTGGCTATTTTTTGGTTGCAGCTGTGATTGTTGTTTGGCAGGCCTGGGTTGGATTCAAAACCGCCAGCTCAGGTGTATGTGGCTGGTACCTTAACCGCTTGAACCACAGGCGCCCAGCCATGCCTGGCTATTTTTTTCATTTTTTTTGCAGTTTTTTTTGGGGGGTGGCTGGGGGCTGGATATGAACCCACCACCTCCAACATATGGGGCCAGCGCCCTACTCCTTTGAGCCACAGTTGCTGCCCACGCCCAGCTATTTTTGTTATTGTAGTTGTCATTGTTTAGCAGACCCAGGCCAGGTTCAAACCCGCCAACCCTGGTGTATGTGGCCGGCACCCTAACTACTGAGCTATGGGCGCCGAGCCTCTTTTTTCTTTTTTTTTGAGACAGAACCTTACTCTATCGCCCTGGGTAGAGTGCTCTGGTGTCATAGCTCACAGCAACCTCAAACTCTTAGGTTCAAGTGATCCTTTTGCCTCAGCCTCCCAAATAGTTGGGACTACAGGTTCCCACCATGATCCCCAGCTAAGTTTTCTATTTTTAGTAGAGATGAGGTCTCACTCTTGCTCAGCCTGGTCTTTAACTGCTGAGCTCAAGCAATCCACCCCCTTGTCTCCCAGAGTGCTAGGATTACAGGTGTGAGTCACCATGCTTGGCTGAGATTATTTTTTAGTTGTCACCACTGAGGGGGTGCAATGCTCCTGGCATCTCTACATCCTACAGTGTGCCCAAGATGCCCCCCCCCCCAGGGAATGACCCCATCTCAGATGTCAGCAGTGCTGAGGCTAAGAACACTCTGGTAGAAAAAACAGAATGTACCACTTCCAAACCAGCCAAAACAACAAAAAAGAATTTAAAAAAAGAAGAAGAAAGGAAGACCAAAGCAAATACAACCTTCAAGTCAAGAGAAATCAGCAAAAACAGTGCGAAGAAAGAACAGCACAATGGCTGGGCATAGCTTCAAGATGTAAGACCCAGGATGTGAGCCCCTGAAAACTATGAAGTATACCACATAATCTGAGAAAGTAATAAATACAGTCACACATGTGGCAGAGACAGCAAAGACATTAAGGAAACATTAAGAATAATTAGAAATAATCTAGAAGCCATGATTTTCCAAGAAGACACAGATTAGGAGACTTGAGTCTGGGTCTGGCCTCTCCCACCCTAGGCTGGCCAGAGGGCTCTAGAGGAAAGAGGTTGCCAAGGCTGCATGGAGCTGAAGCGTGCCCTGCTCCTCTAGATCAGTGGTTCTCAACCTTGCTAATGCCTCAACCCTTTAATACAGTTCCTCATGTTGTGGTGATCCCCCAACCATAAAATTATTTTTGTTGCTACTTCATAACTAATTTTGCTACTGTTATGAATCGTAATGTAAATATCTGATATGCAGGATGTAATTTCATTGTTACAAAGGGGTCGCGACCCACAGGTTGAGAACTACTGCTCTAGAAACTTCCCAGTTCAGAGATTTTTGCCTTTGTCCTTCCTCTTGAGCAGACCCCAGCCTAACTCCCTCCCTGAGCTCCCACAGGAATCTGCACCCTCCCCTGCTCAAACACCTGCTGTGGTTCCCCAGTGCTAGACTCAGTGGCTGCTGTCCACCACCGACCCTGCAGAGAATCCCAGTACTATTTCCCACCTTCCCTAAGCTCCAGGGCACATTTTCCAAGCTTTTCTCAGCAAGAGCCAGAGCAGAGTCACACACCCAAAGTCAGAGAAAGCCCTCCAGAATACAAATAATCCTGGGAGGGCAGCACCTGTAGCTCAGTGAGTAGGGTGCCAGACCCATATACTGAGGGTGGCGAGTTCAAACCCAGCCCAGCCAAACTGCAACAACAAATAGCTGGGCATTGTGGCGGGAGCCTATAGTCCTAGCTACTCGGAAGGCTGAGGCAAGAGAATCACCCAAGCCCAAGAGCTGGAGGTTGCTGTGAGCTATGACAGCACAGCACTCTACCGAGGGTGACAAAGTGAGACTCTGTCTCTTAAAAAAAAGAAAGAAAGAAAAAAGAAATAATCCTGGGAACCTCATGTTGTCCCTTGGTGGAGCTGCAGAGGGCACAACACATAGAGGCTCAGGGGGCAGGAGTGGGGTCTGACGTGGAGAAGCCGGAAGGGCTGGCATCTCTCCAGTGTGATGGGGCATTCTAGTTTCCAGTTGCTAGGTTGGAACACCAACACACTTATCAAATTCCTATTTCCTTTGAGTCTAACTCACCTCTTACTAGGACTGGTGTTTGGGGTGCAATGTGCAGAATGAATAAGAAGAGGAGAAAAATAAATGGCCAACTGTCAGGAATAGATGTCCCACCTGCCTAAAGACCAAAGAAAGAGTGAACAAAAATAGCAACAAGATGCCACATTGCACCCCTCAACAAATGAGAAAGTCAGGCTCGGTGCCTGTAGCTCAAGCAGATAGGGTGCCAGCCACATACACTGGAGCTGGTGGGTTCAAATCCAGCCCGGGCCTGCCAAACAACGACAACCATAACCAAAACAAAAAATAGCCAGGTGTTGTGGCAGGCACCTGTAGTCCCAGCTACTTGGGAGGCTGAGGCAAAAGAATTGCTTAAGCCCAAGAGTTGGAGTTTGCTATGAGCTGTGATGCAAAAGCATGCTACCCAGGACAACAGCTTGAGACTCTGTCTCAAAAAAAAAAAAAAAAGAGAGAGAGAAGAGAAAGTCAGACACTACCACATGTAAGCCAGAGGAAGGAAAAACACTGCACACTGTCTGTAGGTTGCCTGTGTTAGCATGAGTACTCTGAGGAATGCTGTGGCAGAATCACATGGAGCTGACCCCATGGCCAGCAGATGTGTTAGGGACATAGCCCAGAGAGAATCTCGCAAGTTTAGAAGCCAGGACTAAGGAAGACAATGATTTTAGCATCATTTGTGAAGGCAAAAAGCTGATTAACAGTCACTTAAATGCCTAGCTGTCAGGTGAGTAAATAAACTGTGGGAAATTATGTATCTAGTAAAAAGAACATGAAAAAGCTGTTCTTACAAAAAAAAAAAAAAAAGAACTCTGAGCCAGACTGGGAGAAAAAAAATAGCCAACCAACCAACCAACCAACCAGGTTGTGTTAAATTGTGATACTGGCCAAGTGCAGTAGCCCACACCTGTAATCCTAACACTTTGGGAGGTCAAAGCAGGAGGATCACTGGAGGTCAGAAGTTGGAGACCAGCCTGAGCAAGAGTGAGCCCCCCATCTCTACAAAAAGTAGAAAAATTAGCCAGGTGTGGTGGTTCACATCTGTAGTCCCATCTGCTCTAGAGACTGAGGCAGAAGGATTATTTGAACCCAGGAGTTTGAGGTTACCAGTGTAGCTATGATGATACCACTGGACTCCAGCCTGGGTGATAGAATGAGATCCTGTCTCAAAAAAAAAAAAAAAAGTGAGATGCTATTTTTTACCTGTCACATCATCAAAAATCACCAAGGCTGTTGAGGGTATGCTGTGTAAATCCATGCTATCCCTTTGAGGAATACCTGGTGTTTCTACTTCTTTTTGGATAGGTTCCCCAAAAGATGACCCTGTTATGTCATGGCTGGCAGTTTACTCTAGGAAGCCCTAATGGAGAGTGGGAGAGTTGAAACAAGGAGGGAAGGTACTCTGCAAGGGGTGCCAATGAGCAGGTGACACTGTTGGGGACCTACGGGAGACCCCAAGCAGCACTTATCTCAGAGTGATTCCATCCCAGGAGCATGGGCTGAGCTTTACTTTCCAATTCTCCTTGGTCATTGGCCGGGGCTGTTCCTGGTGTGTAGGGTTGTGTTCTTGTAGGAAAATCCCTAGGCTAGTGGCAATTGCTTACAGCAAAAAAGCATTTGGCAGGAACTGTGAATGTTGGGTTTAGGGTAGGGTAGCGGCAGCATCAGCTACATACTTAATATATTCCTTGACTTTTTTTTTTTAAAAAAGGCAAGTCTTGCTCTGTCTCCCAGGCTGGAGTGCATTGGGAAAATCATAGCTCACTGCAGCTTCAAATCCCAGCTTCAAACCAAAAGGTTCTCCAGCCTCAGCCTCCAGAGTAGCTGGGACTAGAGTTATGTGCCACCACTCCTGGCTAATATTTATATTTTTTGTAGCTGGTTATTTTCTTACCTTTTTTTTTTTTTTTGTTACTTGTATTTATTTTTTTTGAGACAATGTCTTACTCTGTTGCCCTGGGTAGTGTGCTTTGGTGTCATAGCTCACAGTAACCTCACACTCTTTGGGCTTGAGTAGTTAATCCTCTTGCCTCAGCCTCCAAAATAGCTGGGACTACAGGTGCCTGCCACAACACTTGGCTGTTGTTTTCTATTTTTAGTAGAGATGGGGTTTTCCTTTTGCTCAGGCTGGTCTGGAATTCCCAAGCTCAAGCAATCTACCTGCCTTGGCTTCCCAGAGTGCTAAGATTATAGGCATGAGCCACTGTGCCCAGCCACAATCTGCCTCAAATAAAGTAGATAAAATGACTCATACTGCTGGAGGTGGAGAGGCAGATGAGCTTCAGGTGAAGCTGGATCCAGCAGCCCAGATGTCACCAATAATCTAGCTGCAGTGTCAGCTTCATCCTGGGGTTAGTCCCTTGTGTTCACATGGTGATCCTAATACTCACCCAGGCTGAGTTTTCTTCCTCCAAGGCCATCAAGAGAGGAGAGTGTCTCCTGAAGCTTTTCTTTCTTTTCTTTTTTTTTTGCAATTTTTTGGCCGGGGCTGGGTTTGAACCCGCCACCTCTGGCATATGGGGCTGGTGCCCAACTCCTTTGAGCTACAGGCGCCACCCACCTGAAACTTTTCTTTGAAGCAGCCAGTAGAACATCTTCCCTACTGTCAACTATTACAGTCAGGGCCATGGGCTTACCACTATACTATCAGAGGATTCCACCATGCAGGGTGGAATGGGGAGCAGGTGATCAAGGCTCAAGAGCCAGCATAAGATGTGGAACATGAACCAGAAATCAGGGGTGGATGTGGTGGGGTAGGGGTGAACTCAGCAGTCACAACCATCTCATGACAACAGCTCACAAACAATCTAGTTGCCCATCTATAACAGATAGGTGTATTTTATCAATGGGCTTGGTGCAGAGCAGTGGGGGTCAGTGTGGTGGGTGGAGCCTGCAGAGGACAAGTACAGAATCTCTCCAGGAGGAGACACACCTATAGAGGGAACGGGGAGGCTGACCTACTTTTTATCATAAACCCTTTTTTGCACAGTTGGTGTTTTCTGGAAAATCATGGTATGTATTAACAATCCAAACAGCAACAATTGAAAATAAAAATTTTATTCAAGACTTTTATTCAAAACTTTATTCATAAATGTGTCATAACAATGTCAACCCTTTTCTGGGGTTTTGGGGGGAGGACTGGGGGGGCTCAGAGCCAAAGAAGACGAGAAATGAGCAGAAGTCATTTAAATTTTTATTAAATATACTCTCTTGGCACAAATCTTTAAAATATATAAACATTATATATAAACAAAGTATCTTCATGGCATCAAAATATAACTCCAGACCAGGGCCAGGGATCATCAGGGAGAGAGGTGACTGCAGAGACCTGGAGCCTGACTATGTGCAGGGGTGGGAGACACACTGTCATAGCCCACTCAGCCAGGAGCCAATACAGGGGAGGTGCGCTGGGCACCAGCAGGACTTGGGGAAGCCTCTGACCCCTTTCTCTCCTGCCTAGCCTGGGGCCCAGAGGAGGGCACTTCTCAACCACACATTTAGTCTCACCCACCTGGGGGGTCTCGGGTTCCTTCCCTTCTCCCTGTGTGGGGTACCCTGGCCTCTTCTGCCAGGTCTGGGTATTGGGCAAAGGAAACCCACCCAACAAGACAGCCCCTCACAGCCATCATAGGCTGCCTGGGCCCCTGGGTATGAGATCAGGGATGCATACATGCAAGGGCCAGAGAGAGGTCATCACACCTAAAGGTCAGAGGTAAGAAGAAAAGAAAGAGGACAGAAGGGCGGGAGGAAATGGAAGTCACAATTGGAAATGCACACAGGGCAAGTGCACTAGCTGAGAGCCCTCCACACAGCATGGCTGCTAAGCAGTCTATGGAACCAACCCTCAAGATCTCCCTTGCCCTGCAACTAGACTGGACTAGTCAGGGGTTTGATATGAATAGACCCAGGGTTGGCCAATTTGAAAAACAAAACAAAACAAAAAAATCAAGAGACCTAAAACATCATTATTGGGTATCTGAGTCCCCAATACCTGGTGGCCCCGGGGACTTGTCTGAGACCAGCTAGCTGGGGTTCCCTGGGGTGCATGCCTCTGCTTTTCCATACTTCCTACCCCTGGGTCACCCACTGTTATAGGGCTCCCACTCTAGGAGGATCAAGACCACTTGCTGTCTCTGTGTGCTCTATTCATGGAAATCAGATAATCCCTCTGGGATTTAAATTGCTCCATGCTCCAGCCAAGGGCTTGCTCAGGTGGGGAGCCAGGGACTTATCAGACGCCACAGTTGAGCAAAGGGTTGGGGTTTGAGGCCCAGCCTCCATTGGTTTTGCCTGTCAGGCAGGAGCTTTGAGCCTAGATGTGGTGGCTGGACACTCAGATTTCAGCAGATACACCAGGTGGGGGGTAGGGGTCAGACCCAAACCTGAAGGGGTTCCACGTCATGGTCTGTACCAGATTCTGTCACGTGGAGGAAGCATAACACTCCTTGGGGAGGTTACAAACTGAATAGGCAGCAGCAGCTGGGGGCCCATGCTGACAGCAGAGACTGGGATGGGGCTCTCAGGAGAAGGCTGTTCCCAAGTAGGAGGCTCTGAGACCAGGGAGTCATAGTCCTTTGGGAAATAATGGGGAAAGCAGGACAGGCAGGGTCGGGTGGGCAAGGGGCTACATCTGTGGCCAAACTGAACATGAGACTTGTCCCATCCTAGACAGGGTCTGGATTCCAAGAAAGACACCTGCCCAGGCTGGAGGCCAGGCAAGCAGGCAGAGTCAGAGAGAGCAGGGACAAGCTAGTTTGGCCCTAAGCCTAGTGGGGACATGGGAGACTCAAAATCAGCAGCATGTTGGAGGACACACAGGGCCAAGAGGCAGAGCTGACCTCTCCTGACTCCAGGCCTTTGGGCAACACCTCCTGAGGCAGGGCAGCCCCTGAGGGAGGATGGGGAAGAGGAGAACCCACGCAACCCTGAGCCCACTGTCCCAACATTGCCCTTCAAGGGCTCCCAGCCCTGGCCACCCAGGCTCGCCTGCTTGTTTCACAAAGTGCCCCTGACTTGGTCCCCCGAGGTGGAACCAAGCACATCCTATTCCATGGGCTCAGAAAACCAAACAGGCCCATCGTCCTGAGAACAGCTGACCACAGGGCCCCCTAACTCTGTAGGTGCCGCAATAGGATCTGCATGAGGTCGAAGGTGGTGAAGCTGATGCCAACAGCGATGGGGCCCTTGAGCCAATTCATGCTCAGGCCTTTGTAGAGGCCGCGCACCGCACCTTCCTCCCGCACGATGGTACGAAGAGTACAAGCGATAGAGGCGCGTGGGTGGCCGGTGACACCAGCTGTCTGCATGCGCCGCCGCACCACATCCAGAGGGTACGAAGCCGACTGCCCGATGAGGCCCGCGCAGGCACCAAAGATCATGCGCTCGAAAGGATAGGGCTGCCAGCGACCACTGTACTCTGTGGGTAAGGGCGGTGAGGGTGCTGTTAGAGGCTGAGCACCCCGCACCCACACACTTGTACCCACATGAGCAACTTGTGAGCACATGCACACATGTACCCGCATACCCCACTTCCTCACTTCCATGTCACTCCTTCTTAAAATTGAGAAGTCAAATTTCTTTTTT